GAACATTTCAATAGAGACAAGCCAATATGCAAGCACAAGTCCTTCCTTGCATCATCCTTGCTAACGTCCTATTGGCCAAACCCAGAGTCAGTAAGGGAGGGTACTCCACACAAGCATAAATATTGGGAGCCATGGTTCACGGGGAGCCACCAAACTAACAGTCAGTGTACCACTTGTGATGCATACAAGAGAAAGGTAAAGGGATTAGTATTTAAGCCAAGATTTGTTGTTTCAGATTCTTTGAAGGATACCGAATTTAACACATATTACTTTAAACTACTATGCAGCCTCTGAAAGTCACATATTAGAACACTGAATGACATGAAAAAAGATGCTAAGTGTAAACGAAAAATGTTTGAAAACAAATACTTGTTTGGTTATATATGCTACACTTTTAGCCAAATAGTTATGAACAATTTTAGTTATAGCCAAATAATTATGAACAATTTTTTTTTCATTTCTTGTCCTTGTATTTACCCAAATTTCTTCAGGAGATATATATTATTTTATAATCAGTAATCGAAAAATACAAAAATATTATTGCAGTAATATGTGATGGATTAACAAGGTTGGATATAGCTATATAATATTTATATTACATTACTTTATAGATCTTATAAAGTAAAATATTTGTAGTCAATAAAGTTTTACAGAAATGCAAATAAAACATCTCAGTATTTTTAAATTACCACATTGAAAAAAGGGAAAAAGATTTGTCAATCCAGTGTTGGCCGGCATTTAGGGACTTTCGGTGGGAGTTAAAATTGATACAACCTTTTCTGAAAAACAATTAAAATATACCAGAATTTAAAATAGGCATTGCTCTAACAGAGCTATTCCACCCGTAGGAATGCTAACTAAAGGGAAAACGTTTTTAAATTCTCCAAAATATAGGCACTGATTTGTACCGATTTGTGGAATTAATGGTGGCACTTTGTTCTTGTATATACTTTTTGCTCTTTTGCTTTCTAAATGTAGTATCCCAAAGCCGATACACTTACATGTTGGGAGGAGGAAGCAGACCTTAAGAGCTTCGTGGCCATGACCTTAAACCGGAAGTTCTCAATCTTGGCTGCGCATCGGACAAGAATCATGATGCCTGGCAACCAAAGATTCTGATTTAACTACTCTTGGGTGAGGCGCAGGTATTGGGAGTTTTCAGTGCTGCTTATTTCTAATTGACAGACAAACTTCAGACCAACAGGAACAGAAGCTCTCTTGACTGACCTCTATTTGAAATGACAATCTTCTGTAAAAAAAAAATGTGGACTGATCTCCTGGACCCATGTAACGTCTCATGTTGGTAGGCTACTAGTACGTATGCCTGTCTGCGTCTGCCAATTGAGTTGATCTCCAAGATTCAGTTGTATTTGTTTCTAAACCTTTTTATACCAGTTATGTTTTTAATTGTAATACTACAGCTCAAATATAAGAAGAGACTGAGTTGAATGTTTTGGAAAGACAGCCCAAGTAAATTGCTTAAAAAAGAAAAAGGCTATGGCGATGGTTCATTCTGTGTGTCAACTTGGCTAGGCTATAGGGCTCAATGTGGTCAAACGCTCATCTATATGTTGCTGCGAAGTTTTTTGTAGATGTGATTAACCTTTACAATTAACTTTAAATAAAAGAGATTGTACTTGATAATGTGAGTGGGTCTCATCGAATCAGTTGAAGGCCTTAAGAGTAAAAACGGATTCCCCAGAGAAGGAATTTTGCCTCAAGACTGTAACATAGAAATCCTGCCTGAGTTTCCAGCCTACCATCTGCCCTACAGATTTCAGATTTGCAAGCCCTCACAATTGTGTGAGCCAACTCCTTAAGTAAATCCACATCTATATCTATTTCTATAAATCTGTATCTATATATCTTCTGTTGGTTCAGTCTCTCTGAAGAATCCTGATACAGCTATCGAATTAGATGTACGTAAGATAACTATACAGGGGGAAATATCTGGAAGGATTCTGTACTCAGATCACTGTTTTGAAGTTCTCATCCAGTTCAAAAAAAAATAGATAATAGTGTATTTCAGATGTGGTTTGTGGGAGACAGCTATCATTGGACTCATACTCAAGGGGTCATGGCCCTATATTCAAACAACTGGTGAAAAAAATCATGAAGAACTGTGAAAGGTTTGCGAGTTTACTTTACTTGCAAGCTAACAAGTTAGCCTGCCACCTGTAAGCCTTAGCCGTGCATTTTATTTATCTTGTAGTTACATCAAAGCCCCACCCTAACACGATGGACTCATAGTACGTACTTCATAATGAGTGAGAGAATGAAAGAAATGAGACCCACTCCTTCACTTTGCACGTGGAAGGAAGGGTCAAGACAGGCCAGAAGACTACAAATAATGAGTTGTCCATTGGACATCTGTCTGAGCCAAAACGTTCACAAGAGTGAAAACACAGACAAGCAAGTGGTATTTCTCAAATGGGTTACAGTTCCTAACTTGCACGCATGTAATAAAACTCCACATTACAAGGGTGAAAACTGCGTTTATGTCAACACCAATGCAAGTGAGTAAGGAATTACAGACTCACCAAAAACCAGTCTTACGGTGCCAACTGCTTTTTCTCCATGTCTCAATTCACAGGACACTGTCCACGAATTTTGTCTTTCCCGGAAGTGTTGCTCTTTGAAGGCTATGAATGCAGTCACTGGAGAATGAATGCTCCGTTGCTGCTGGGAGGGGCCTGTCCCTTTCAATACCTTAGGAGACTGCCCTGTAGCCCTGGTCCTAGAATATTCTGAGGCTTATAGAAGTTTAGGGTCCTTCCCTTGGTTCCTCAGATGAGCACATATCGGTGGCACTTCCTGAGTTCACTCTATAGCAACTGTACATCAAAATGTGGCCCCGAAGAATCACTCTGATGATTTTTAAGAGTGACACAAATTCAGTTTTAGTCTTCAAAATGTTTCTGTAAGTCATGGTCAGCCTTGGCTTCGATGCAAGATACTAAACACTCTCCGTCTAGGGAAACTCAGAGAATTATGCATCCCCAGGCACAGATGGCCAAACGCTCAAAGAAGTAAGAACCCTCAATGCATGGAAGAGCGACGTTTATCAGCGAACATTCGGATACTGTCTTCTGCCCAGAAGGTCCCCTGGAATCTCAAAGACCCCTTATGGCAGTAAAGGCAGCTGTATTAAAGGACTGGCAATCAAGCTGGGTCTTGAACACATTCCTAAAGGTGTCCCTTTTTCTATTTTTGAGTACAGCTCTTCAGCTTCTCGTTACTTGAAAACGGGTTTAAAAAGAACAGAGATTGTTGGCGCATTGTTGAGTTCGTCATATAACCTGCTTTTGTTGCAACTGGCACAAGACCAGAGCTGCGATCATGGATTTCTTAACCAAGGTGGCACTGAGAATCCAGAACCAGCTACCTTAGAAGAGAGAACTAGGGTGACCAGGCGTTCCGGTTTGCCTAGGACTGAGGGGTTTCCTGGGATGCAGGACTTCCAGTGTTAAAATTGAGAAAGTCCCCTGCCAGCCAAAACAAGCTGTTCATGTGATGGGGAAGTGACCGTCTTTGCCTCACTGGAACCACAACCTTCAGTTGAGTGGAAACAGTCCCACTAAATCGAGGATATCATAGCGTATTAAAACTGCCGGGGCCCTCAGCAGTCACTCACCCTCTCATTTTTGCATGCTGAGACTCAGAGTGGTGTAGACATTTTCCCAAGGTCCCACAGCTTGCCAGTAGCATACCAGGAACTAGTTTCTACGTTTCTACAGCCCGTTTAAAGTGTTTTCAACATGCAAATATTTGTCATCACCGAATGCTACCCTTGACGGAGATGGTCACATGCCAGGACAATGAACTCCTGGGTGAGGGGATCATGTTTGTGACTAGCTCACAGGCACATGGCTTAACACCTAGTAAATGCGTGAAAATCGTGCTTCTTCACACCTACCTATTCTTTCAAAGGGAAGATTTAAGATGACTGCTCTGAAAATTGCAGTTAATGTCCAAAGCAATCAGTTCTCACTGCAGTGGAGAACTGCAGTGAGAACTGTTGACTTCGCCACGCAACGTACAGGAAGGATGTGGTAGCAGCTTCCAGCCCCCGCCCTAACTTCCACCTTCATTGGCTCGCCTCACTCAAATGTATATTACACCCTACGCTGGATTGCTAGTCTGTGCTGGAATACAGTCATCTGATTCTGAAAAATTCTGCCATGAAGTACCACCAGTAATGGCAGTCCCTTCACAAACGCCCTTCTGATCTCCCCAGCCTGACTGAGCCTCTGAACCCGTTGGTAGTTCATCTTTCCCTTTGACACTTAGCCTATCCCCACTTAGCCTATCAGCTGCTGGATGTCGTAGGACCTGCCATATGGAACACTTTTGAAGAGGTGTGACAGCATTATTCGGTGGGATTGAAGTGTTTTTGGGGCTTCCACCTCTCCATTTTTCCCTGCCCCCTGGTACATTCTATCACATTCTCTCAGACTGTAAACTGTGATCTTCCATGACGGATTTGGTTTTAGTTCTTTACATTTCACTGGGACTTAAAAATGTTGCCACTCTGTTATCCACAGTTGGGCTTGACTGGGAGAATATAATTAACAATTCACTGTCCCCACGAGAGTGACTTAAAGTATCACTGAATAGCTAGTTGTTTTATGGGAGCAGGAAACTCTTCTTGCAGCTTCTGAAATCAAAACTTCTCTGGAGTCTACATTTAAGTCTGGTCTATTCCGATCTATAGATACCGAATATTACGACTTTGCTGTGTAAACACACTGTGCGATCTTTGATTTTATAGAAACATCTAGAATTCCCAACTTGGATGCCTTATGTGGCACCGCTGTTACGCTCTGGGGCAAGGAGACTACTGATCACCCCTTCGGAGGTACCTTCGAAGTGGAGGAGAGCTGACTTCAACAAGCTTCTGGCTTTTCTGTACTTTTACACGCTAGGCTACACTCGTGAGGCAGCACACATTTTCAGGTACACCCCGTCAAAACATATGACTCCACAATGATGATAAAAACTTTGAAAGAAGCAGTATGATTTTATTGAAATGTTTTAGTACAGTGTTGGAAGATCTTAAAATCCTATGTTCTAAGCCAATACAAGCACTGCAAATAATATAGTGCTGAATCTAGTTGACATCCCACCCGACAAAGGACAGTTATAATCTGAATATCTGTAAGTGGATTAAGTTGGAGGCTGAGTGACTCTGGTGTATTCACGTTGCTCTGGCTCCCCTTTTGGCCAGATGCATGCCGAGTCTGCCTCCATTCAGCAGAGCTGGACGGGACCAATATATATTCAACAGTTTCACTTAAATGTTTCCATACCAGCAAGGGAAGCTCCAGTTCTGGGAAGAGGCTGCCTGGAAGCCATCTTCCTCATCTTTGTCGAACTGAAATCACCCAACAGCTAAGGTCTACACTGCCACTGTGCATGGCAAAGTCTAATCAATGTATTAGAAGTACTTTTAAACACAAAAGCGGTGCTCAATAACGATCATCAATCAGTTCTTAATTCAGAGAATGACAATAAAGATTTTTCTTTTACCTTCAGATTATTTTAAAACTAGCTATTTTACTCTAAATCTTAATTGAAATGATTACTTTTAAATGGACTGGTTTTAGTCATGTCAGCATGTCTACACTTGTATGCCAAACTGTTTGCTTGTTCCTAACTACATCTCATTTCCCTATGCACATAAAATTGTAAGAAATAGAGATATCACTCATTTATCAAAAATTAAAAGTAAACGGCATCTAAATAAGCTCTTTACATATCTCAAGTTAACTCTTTCTAAATATAGTCAATCCGTATGGCACAGCTGGCTTTACCAGGTTACAATATTTTTCCTCAAAAACCATTTTAAGGTCTAACTAAATGCTCATTTCTGCAACCACTAAAATGATACTTTTTAACTTCGATTCAAACTTGCCGTAGGGAAGTTTGAAACCTTAAAGATTGTTATACTTGTTAATGACTTAAAAAGATTTTATTTTTCCACTTGCAGAATTTAGATTAAGGAATTTATTCTCAAGTTTTCAGATTTGGCAGAAGGGAGAGACTGTTGTTTATTATTTTATGCAGGCAAATTCTCTTCTTTCGGGGCTGGAGAATTCAGTAGGTTGCCCACCAATGTGTAAGGCTTGCCTTCTGCCGCAGTCGGGGGACACCTCACTTTGGAGGATGTCATCAAGGGCCATCTCGCGGAGACAGCCATCTCCCCCTCCAGAGTCACTCCTTGGGCCCCTATTTGAAAAGGATCTTAAGGGAATAACTAATGTTTACTTATCTGTACTTTTTCACAGGCCTTTCTTACCCCCATTTTTCAAGTAACAACTTTAGCTGAAATAATCAGTTGCCTAGAAGACTTGGTACTTTTGATTTAAAAAGGCAAAAGAACATTAAATCAAAACTATTAAGATGATGTTTAAATATGCATTCGGGGTCACTCACAAAAATTCACTTTTGTGTTTACATCGAAAGCAAAATTACGCTCAGATTAGTAAACCTGAGGGAACTTAGAGGAGTTTTGTTTTGGTGGAAATCCACGACGTGAAATTATTGGAAAAAAGGCAAAGTAAAAGCTAGAGCTAAAAAAATGTGACCTAAAAGGACAAGAGGTACCCAAAGGACTGTCCACCTGGGATGGACAGAGGCGAGCATTAATGTGTCAGTGAGAGTAGACACTATCTCAAAATGGTTTCTAGATCAGATCTATCGCTGCACATAATTTTGGAAATTTTAGAACGTGACATTTCAGGTAGGCGATAGTTATGAGATGCTTTTCAGAAGTGGCAATAAAAAAAAAAATACTGAACTACATAGCCTGCGGTATGTCTAATGTTTATCCAAAAATGTGTCAGTGGCCATCTTAAACTATATAAAATTTGGTCCAGATTAAGCACAAAAACCGAAATGGTTTATTTGGAACCCAGTTACTAAAAAAATAAAATAAATTCGAAATCCACGGTATTATACATTTTTCTAAGGTTTTCTTACAGTTTAAGGGCTCATACTGTACAGGGTTTTACCCAAACGTCCATAGGCATTATTGTTATATATCTACATAGAAAGCTTTATCCTAAAGTCACCTTTGGCAACCCTAAATATAAACTATGAACTTCCACAATGGAATTATAAAGCTATGGCCGTAAAACACTGACAGAATAAAAGAAAAGGTCCCCTATCAGAACAAGTCAAGATGACAAAAATATTTCTCATTTATGACAGTTCACAGGTCAAATAACTGCCACCTTCCTCCCAAACTGGAAATAATAACGGTCTGGAGCTATAGAAGGGGAAAACAACGGATTTTGGAACAGATAAAGATCTGATGCTTTTGCGTTCTAATTGCTAAGTCCTAAAGCTTAAAAATCAGATAAACGCATACTACTCAGATGCTAGCAGGCTCGCTCCACACTCCTATCGTGTGCATTTATAGCGGGACGTGGCTGAACAGGTAAGAGACAGATTCACCGTTGTGGGTCCTTCGGATCGCCTCAGCCAAGATCATCGAAATGTCAATGACCTAAACACCAAAAAGAAGAGGCGAGAGGAAAGGAAGGCATCTCAGTCACATTTCATTAAAAACACGAAAGCCAGAAACCCTACAATTTCTCCAGCTGTAAGATGTACGACTGTCAAGACTTCCCATAGCTACTTCTCTGGAGAGGACAGATGCTTTGGGTCTACCTTCAAATTAGGCCCTGTGAAGCCAAACCCCTAGAGGATTCTGGAAGCGAGATTTTCAACGCAGGTACCCAAAGGCTTTTCAGGGCCACTGTTAACCAGAGACATCCTTTTCTTGGGGCACTTGTTTTGTTTATTTATTTATTTATATTAGTTTCAAGCGGGGCGCTCGTTTCTAAGTTAATTTTATTCAACCATTACGTCGAAGGTTTTCTCTCTTTTGGTTTCAGAAAATGCAGTGACTGTCATTTAAGAGCACGGCTATGATCATTCTAACTTTCCCTTTTGCAGGCCAGACTCAACTGAGTTGTTGTAGTGTGAGAACAGCTAATAGATAATACATAAAAATAAATGGGCATGGCTGTGTTCCAATAAAGCTTTATTTACAGAAGCAGATGGTGGGCCGGATTGGGCCGTAGTCTGCTGACTCTCGACAACTGCTAATCAGGCATGAAAATCTAAGGCAGAGAGAGCTATTTTGACCATTTCCAAACATATCTCTTCATGCCAAATGAACTGCTTCGTTCTCCGATGGATTCGAAGATCCACTTTGACCCACCTTCAGGATGGGATGGGGGCTTCTAGCAATGAAACGAATTGCCGAGGTTCACTGTGACAGAGGCAAAATGAGGACTCGGACCCTTTCGATCTATTTCAGGCCAGTCGGTGTAAAGCGGTCATCACCAGCTCTCTGGTGGCCTCCCAAGTCAGGAGGGGCAAGAAGGAACAAAGCTCGGAGGACCCTCAGCATAGGCTGGTGCTGCTTTTTTTATCTGCATTTTTTTTTTATTGTGGTGAAATATACACAACATAAAAATTACCATTTTAACCATTTTAAGTGTACAATTCGGTGGCATTAATTACATGTCCAATGTTGTGTAACTATCACTATTATCTATTTCCAAACCTTTTTCATCACCCCAAACAGAAACTGTGTCCCCATTAAACACTAACTCTCCATCCCTCCTCCCTGAGCCTGTGGCAACCTCCATTTACTTTGTCTCTATGAATCTGAATGCTTAGTCTAGGTTCCTCAGATAAGTGGGATCAAACAATAAATATCATGTTCTTTTGTGGCCGGCTGGCTTCTTTCACTGAGCATGTTTTCGAGGTTTATCCATGCTGTAGCATGTGTCAGAATTCCTCTTTTTAGGCTGAATGACTGATATTCCATTGTACAGATAGAGAATATTTTGGTTGCCCATTCATCTGTTGATGGACAGTTAGAAACCTCTTGGCTACTACTGTGAATAGGGCTGCTACAGACAAGTGTACGAGTTTTTATTTGAACACTTGTTTTCAAATTCTGGGGTATATACGTAGAGGTAGATCTGTTGGGTCATATGGTAATTCTGTTTAGCTTTAGCACAGCCTGGTTCTTACCGGTTTTCTATTGTGGTTTTATTCACTTACTATTTCTAACTTAAGACTTCTGCCCGCCCCAGCCTTTCTCAGAGATCTAAATGAATTATAACCTCAAGTACGAGCAGCTGCAACTTCTACCGACATCTGCCTTACTAGTCACACACAGAAGACTCGATGCTATTTTTGGGGATCTGAGCTAGGTCCCTCACTGCTTGGTTCGGCCTGCAGTGTAGACAGTACCTGGATCTTGGAGCAGTGATTCATTTTCTCCTCTTGTGGAATCGTGTTGGTGACGACAACAGCCTCGAAGGCGGCATTGTTTATTCTGGAAATGGCTGGCCCAGAGAAGATTCCATGGGTAAGGATAGCATACACTTTGGTTGCTCCGGCTGAGAGCAGCCTATAAAACAGAAGACAAAAGAAATTAAGTGTACACGAATATTGTTGAAACAGTCTCCCCTTGGTATGAATTTAAAAAGCAAAAAGTGTATTCCATAAAGGAAAACATGAAACCAATTTTGTTCACATGTACTAGTCGAAAACCTAGAGGATCTTTAGATTATGAGCTGGCAACATACTTCGTATGTCATAAAATCCGGGATTATCAACCTCTGCGTTGGGCCTGGAGGAACTCTTCGGCGTGCAGAGCCCCTGGTCTCCACTCGCTAGCAATGCCTCCCTCCCCTCAGTGTGACAATCAAAAATGCCTCCAGGCATTGTCAAATGTCCCCTAGGTAGCAAAAGTGCCCTTGGTTGAGAACCACTGGTTGAAACCAAAACAGCCAGAATATCATCATCGACATACATCATCGACATATAATCAATATAAAAAAAAGAAAAACCACCACCAAGAGATTTTACGTTCTTTGTCTTGTACTGCCTGGAAAGTCTGGCCTGAAGGCCGAGGGTGGCTCTTTCCTCCTGTGCTCAGTTCAGGGGCTGCACCTTCTCAGACCCCTGATGAAACAGACCACAAGCTCAACCTTGACAATGAAAACCAGGCCGTAAAGGACCATGGTTTTCTTCCTACCAATTAAAAATAAATTGGCCTAGGAGTTCCTTTGGTCTAAAGCGCCACTGCTAAGCAAAAGGCAATATTTCGGAAAAAGAGGCCCAATCTTAAAATGCTGATGTTTTTCCCTTCTTAATGAGATATGCTAACACTTCCCCAAACCGTCCCTCGTACTTGTCCGCAGCGTGGCAGATTGTGCCACAGGTGTCGGCCATGTCGTCCACGAGGATGGCCACGCGGTTATTCACGTCGCCCACCAGGACCATCCGGTCCACTTCATTCGCTTTCTTCCTCTCTTTGTGAATCAAGGCAAACTCCACATTCAACCTGTCGGCAATCGACGTGACCCTGTGCAGACGCAGAAGGACATCTTAACCACCACCGATAAAATCTCATTCTTTAAAGTTGTATTTTAGGACTGTAGTAACCAACCACATTCGACATGATGAAAGCAGCAGCAGCTCTCACTGGAGCAAACACGGGGAGGAATATGCCAGCAATATTGTCCTGCCATTGATGGCAGCTGGTAATGAATATCATCGGGGCGCCGTGATCTCTGGACAAAACTACTGGGTAAGAAACTGATTTTCAATTTGTTAGTGTTGTGTGGTAGTTTTTAAAATCGTGGACACAACTTAAAGGAAGTTCCTCAGAAATGACTATTTGTGTAGTTAGTGGTGCAGCTAGAGAGGACAAAGTTAACATGGCCACACAACACGGAGGCTTACGAAAACGGGCTCTGCTAAGATTGAGGCCTCCAGAGACTGTAAACCATGAGTCCAGTCCCTCTGGTCTCTGTGTGGTGAGTACCCAAAAGCCATCAGCTCAGAAAGGGCTGGGCTGGCTACAGAAAGAGGAGGTGGCAGGCCTGGCCTGTCAGAGAGCCCAGGACGTTTTGGATTTTTCCCTTGAAAAGTGTGCTTTCATGATGAAAACTTACCACAGAATGATGCCACAGATACGAAGTGATGTGAAGTTGAGATTTTCCTCTTCCAGGTTTTTTTTTAATAACTATAAATTTGTACTTCTTAAATCCTTCAGCTTTTTCACCCAGTCCCCCAAACCCCCTACAAGTTTTTACAATATCTACCATTATGCAATTCAATGGAAAAGTTATTATTGAGGGACCAATACACACACTCGCGCACTCCCATTCAGTGTGCAGTGAATGGCGAACAAGACCCCTGTATGTTTTCTAAGTCCTGGTCCTATTCATTGCATCATCTTCGGATGGGAACCAGGAATGGCACTGCATGGGTGTTCTGATGGGGGGAGCGGGCAGGCAAGAGTCCGTACCCCTGGTTCCCCTTGCCTGTTTCTGAGCAGTATTTTTAAATTGTGGTAAAATACATATAAAATAGAATTTATCATCTTAATTATTTTAAAGTACACAATTCAGTGGCATTAAGTGTACGCATCACATTGTGCTACCACCACCTCTAATTCCCAGATATTTCCATCGCCCCGGAAGGCAACCCTGTCCCCGTTAAGTCACTCTCCACTCCCCCTTCCCCAGCCCCTGGAGACCCGACCGTGAAGCTACTTCACCTCTATGGATTTACCTATTTTGAACTTTTCATACGAATGGAATCATACGACATGTGGCCTTTTGTGTCTGGCTTTGTTCACTTAGCATGATGGTTACCAGGTTCATCCATGTTGTAGCGTGTCAGTATTTTATTCGTTTTTATGGATGAATAATATTCCATTGTAAGTACACACTGGATCCTGTCTATCCATTTGTGTGCTGATGGACAGCTGCGTCGTTTCCACCTTTTGGCTATTACGAACAGCGCTGCTGTGAACACTGCCATACAACGATCTGTTTGAGTCCCCGTTTTCGAGTCTTTTGGGGACATCCCTAGGGGTGGAAAGTGCGAGAATTCCTGGGTCATGTAGTAACTCTGCGTGTAACTTATTTAGCCAGTACTTTAGCAGCTTCCAACTTCATCAAAGACCGACGCCACCTTTCTTTCAGATCCTAATGTTTTTTTTCTATGTTGGAATTACCAGGGACATCTGTTACCTCAAGCAAGGGACATGAATGAAAATGAGACCTAAGTAAGGCAAGGCCACCTATATTCCATGTAGAAAAATCTCCGTTTCCAGATGGCAATTGAGACTTGCATTTCGGCACCCTTCCTGATGGAAACAGAAACAATCACAATGCTAGATTACAAAGGGAAATGTCTTCATAAATGCATCATGGAGCTGGAAGGCTCAAAGGAATCTTGAGAGGCTGAGAATGTAATGGTAGGTTCCCCTGGGAAGCTGGCCCGCAGCTGAGATCTTGCCCTCAGGAGTCCTATGGAGCCATGAATGATGCTGAGCATGTTTGATAGCAGAGATATGGAAATGAGAAAGCCGAGGGCCCAGCTGAGACCCGAGCAGAATGGGAGACGGCCTGTGAAACACAGGGAGGCTGAAGTTATGCCTTCAGAATGAGTGAAAAATACACCTGCAGCCCAGGCGAGGACAGGCAGGATGCGTGTGTCTCAAACTCCATGCTACATGGAGGAGCTAGTTCTCTCATACTCCTGGAGGTTGTTCATCCAAATCCCCATGCTGCGTATGATGAAAACCTTCAAGTGGAGAATTTAATTCGAAGTTATACTTTGAGGCAGTGCTCCAAGGGAACTGGCGACAACAAATGCCAATTCTCTTATGATAAAATTCTAAGAGGAGGAGGGTGTCACAGAAGAGTCACAAAACATCCAGGAAAGCAAGGCATCCAAAGTGAGAGCCACCAGAAATAACTGGGCCGTAATGGCAAAATGTCAGACACTGGCATTAGCCAAGAAAGAATAAAAAATGATTGTTTTCTATGTTTTTAAAGAAATAGAAACTTGGATAGGAACAAAAAAGACTATATAAAGAATAACGAATCGAGACTTAAGAATAGAGTTTCGAGAAATAAAAAACACTATATTTGAAATTAAAAACTTAGTAGCGATTCAACACACCCGAGTATGTTTAAAGAGCATGTGAGAGTAAATGAGAAGATAGACATGAAGACAATGTCTAGAATGCGATCTGAGAGACAAAAAGTGATCGAAAATGTGAAAAAAAACAGCTAACACACATGAAACGGTCTAGGACTCTACAGCCAGCAAAGCTGCCTTTCGATCATGAGGGCAAAATGAAGATATCTTCCACCAAACTGCATAACGCAAGAAGTCACTTCCTTATACAACCACTTAAGGAAATTCTAAAGAATATAACTGAAGGAAAACAACAGATACATTGAGACGTGGCAGGGGGTGGAGGTAGGTAAGCAAAGATATCAGTCACTATGTGGACACGCCTAAAGAAATGTTGGCTGTATAAAACCACGATAATCATGTCTAATTGCGGAGAAGAAAAAAACTACACTGGACAACAGTTTTCAAGCACAAAAGATGGTGGGCATGAATCGAAGTGTGGCAGTAATCATAATGGAAAAAGGACTAAAGTTTCCGGTTCAAGACAAAGACGACTGGATTAGACAAGAGAAGACATCGATTTCGGATCTCCGAAGTCCTGGAGGAAATGAAGCGTTATTATAATGAGGTCTGCATTCTTCCCACCCTTAAAAAAAAAAACCCTTCCGCTTCAAAGGAAACCCAGTTCACTAGCCCACACCCTTTGTTTCTAAATCTGTTTACCACCGGTTTCCTAACTTAAGGATTTAATTGAGCAAAAAAATTCATTTGAGTGCTGACAAAAATTTTGTCCCATAAACACCTTAAAACGTATACGTAAAAGATAAGTCATTTAAACTCTGACTAAGGAAAGTTAGTTTCTCAGAAAACAAGACAGGTATTCCCAAGAAGAGACTCCTGAACACCTTATATACGACGTGCACATATATTACATTTTGGGGTTTATTTGAAAGGACTGAGAAGACCTCAGCATGGCAGGGCCCTGGTCCATGACCTAGCCATTGTGACCCATGTTCTAAGCCAGTGAAATCTGAAATCCAAGCGCAACCAGTATTCACACCTCTGTCGGGTGATCCCGCGCTCCCAGCCTGTGTACAAGCGAACCAGCGGGGGGACCTAGAGGCCGGGGTGGGAACGAAGCTGAACTATATGGCCGGACTATATGGCCGGCGGCAGGGGGTTTGGCATGAGACATGAGTAGGGAGCCCTAGCCACTTCATGTACTCAATGTTAATGTAAGAAGCCAGAGATAAAGGAAAACATCCCTGCCAAAAGCCCCTTGGGTTGCTAGAACATTCTTATTCCTGAACAGCCTACAACTCTTCTTTTGCACGTGTAACTGAGACTTAATATATAAACCTAACAAATGACGAGACAACGTACCACAGAGAAATGTTAATCGGAAAAAAACTAGAAGAAAAATAGTTTGGTTTCCATTTCTTCTGGATACATGTTCATATTCTTCCCAAAATAAAACACGATAAAAGTTAAATCTCGACTACTTAGTTTCACCAACTTCCCATACCAGTTTTGGTTAATATCGACTATCTTAACAGTGGCAGGCGCTTCCTTCTAAGGTTTATTTTTTCTTAGCTGTCAACCCAATCAATGGTCAAAGACGATCCAAGACTGACCTCTTGTGGTAATATCGGTTTTGTTTGTTTGTTCGTTGTTTTACCAGGAACGAGTCAAACCTCTAAGGTTTTTTCTAAGGCAACGAGTGCCAATTTGTCTGATAAATTTTCTTTGGTGAAATATGGCTTTTTGTATCACGTAAAAAAGCCAGATAACATCAACTGCACATAGCATGTGTCATCTGAGCGGCTGCTGTGTCAGTTGGGGGGGAACAGCTTACTCCAGGCATAGCAGAAACTTTGGGAAAAGGAAAAGGAGGTGGCGAAAAATCCGAAACGTGTTGACTCTGCATTTTTTTAAAGCAGATGACAGATAGGGGAACCTAGTATATCATAAAATATGGCGTTTCATGTCAGTAGGGGAGAGATGTGTTATCTGATAGTTTTGGAACAACTAGATAGCTGGCAGGGGGCAGTCAGAGTTGGATTCTTATTTCAGTCTTTATTCCAAAAACAGTTTTCAAGTCAAAGAAAATTGGAACATAATAAAAGGGCGACCCTTAAAATTAAACAAAATCGTGGGAGAAGAAAATTGTTGAGAGGGTGAATACTTACTTCATAAACAAAGCTGTAATGTGAAGAGAAGAAAACTATACAAAGGGAAGACATGAAAACTTGGAGAAATATTTGTCCCCTCCCCATAAAGACACAAAACAAAGATGTGACTTCTTGCCTGTGCAGAGCCCCTAATAATCCAGAGGAAAAGGCCTCCGGCCAACAGAACAGGCAAAAGGCGAGGAGATCCTCATGAATGATAAACATGCTGGAAAGGGCACGTGACCTTATCCAGGCAACTGGATAACAGGAAGAGATACCAAAGACCACTTATCTGATTTGTAAGGTAAAACAGGTCTGATGACTCGCTATGCGGACAAGCCTGTGTAGAGAGTCACTGGCATCCACACTCGATGGGCATGTCAACTGGTCTATCTTCTCGGAAAGACCAAATTTTGGCACTGTCCATAAAAACCGAAATGGCTCCTGCCCTCGGACTCTGCCATTGCGCTTCTAGGGACGCATCCTATTTGCACACGTATACAAAACGTAAAAGCCAGTGTAATGCTGCAGGACTGTGTTTAAGAGGACAGTCACGTGCTGCGTGACGACGTTTCAGCCAACGATGGACCGAATATACGACGGTGGTCCCCTAACAGGAAACCCTAAGAAAATTCGCAATGAAGGGTTTAGCAGAAGCTTTTGCAGACTTCAACAAACTCCTTAAAATTTGAAAACATGAACCCCAACACTGAAAGTTTTTCATTAACAGACAGGAATACTCATGGTATATATTATCCGCTTACAAACAAATCTATGATGGAAAAAAAAAAAAACCCAAGCAAACCGCCATGGACATCTCTCTGAAAAGTGATACCTCCTTAAGAAGAGCCTCAGGCGGGCCCTTTGGGAGGTGTTCCAGAGAACCTGTATGTGTTTAAGCTAAGTGTTATTACAAGAGTTGAGAAGTTAAAAATATAACGTTTATAAAAAGAAATTACAGTAAGCTAAGGTTAATTTATTATCAAAGAAAAAAATTTAAAATAAATTTAAGTGTCCCGTAGTGTACAACTAACTGTGTCTAAGACCTTCACATTCACACTCACTGACTCGCCCAGAGCAACTTCCAGTCCTGCAAGCTCCATTCATGGTAAGTGTACAAGGTACACTTTTATACTCTTATACTGTATTTTTCCTATACCTTTTCTGTTTAGCTACGCTTGGATACACAAATATTTACCATTGTGTTACAATTGTTTACAGTATTCAGGACAGTGACACGCTGTACGGACTTGTAGCCCAGGTGCAAAAGGCTGTACCTGGGTGTGTAGGAGGCTATGCCATCTAGGTTTGTGTAAGTGCGCTCTATGATGTTTGCACAATGACAAAATCACCTAATGACACATTTCTCAGAACATATGCCTGTCGTTAAGCAACGCATGCGTAGACAAACAGTACCTCGAAGTGAGAACGGGAAACTGATTAAAGGAACCATGCCATACACATGCAATGGAATATGATCCCGCTGTAAAAAACAATGGAGCAAATTAAGTTTTAATAAAAGCACGGTCAAAGAGTATATAGGCCACATTACCGCTTGTGTGAAATGTAAAGGGAGATGTATGTTTGAATAACGTTAAGTCTGACACCAGAAAGAGGAGGCCTTTCAAGGAAGTGGGGGATGCTACCCTGTTTGAATGTTTTCTGAGAGAATATGTTTTCAGATTCTAAAAAAAAAAAAAAAATGAGGTTGGCACGTGAAAAGCTAAGGCTACAAAAATCTGCGGAATCTATTATTCTCTTGGCTTATTAGCTCCAAAGAAACTTTTTCTGGTTCTAAAACCAAAGAGATACGGCAGACGCATAAGCCACATATCGGATGATACCGTTTATGGGAAATGTCCACGGAGGCGGTTCCATAGAGACAGCAAATAGTGAGTGGTTGCCAGGGGCTGGAAGGAGAGGGAATGGGAGTGACTGCTAATGCACAGAGGTTTCCTTCTGGGGTGATGAAAAAAGGGTCTGGAATTAGGTGATGGATGCACAAATCTGTGAATATACTGAAAACCACTGAACTGTGCACTTGAAACGGACCAATTGTAGGTATGTGAATTTTCTCTCAATAAAGCTGTTATTAATAACGAGTTTGTGTACCCCTTGGCCCACTTTTTTCACCTCTAACCTTAGATCAGGCCAGTGGATTCGCCATTAAATCAAGATTCCACTGTGTGACTTAAGTTGCCAAGTAAATTGCCAGGTGGATGAGGGAGCCAAATGAGAGCCGGGCATTTGCATTTTAAAGATGTCCCGAAGCTTCGTGGTCCTCCTGGCCTGTCAGGGCACATTTACGAGCTTCCTTGCTTTCTCACTGGGCAGACAAGATCTCTTTACCTCTCCCTTTCTGTGGAAGCCCTGACCTGGGCATTAAAACTCCATTCCACTTTTTCCCTTCCCAGATAGCAGCTGTACGGTTGCACAAAGTCGCTCTGAGTCACCAAGTCTCAGCCTGCAGTAGAGCACTCTGCGTCACATCAGCATTCTACCACCTTCGTCCCTGCTTCTGGACACCGTACCGATTGCTCATAATCTCCTGAGTCTCTGCAAAGCCCTCCAGATTCGCTGCTCAGTACCGTTATGCCGTTCAGCGTGCCTGCGCTCTGATGCCGTTAGTGCCAGGTCGGTTTCTGCTAGTAACTGTTCTGTCACTCCCACGTGCTGGCTGGCTGCTGCCCAGTGACCTGCAGATGGTGACTCCGGGTAGGCTGCACCCTCTCGGCTTTCTAACCCAGATCGGCAGGCATGAGGTCACGTTCAGTGGAGGGAGCTTACCGAGCACCTGGGCTTGTGAATTCTTTCTCTGCCGTGGCTCTGCAGCCGGGGACCAATTTTCATGTGGATTTTCTCCCCGTAGGGGTCCCCGCATCACCCCTACGTGAGGAGAGTGCATATGCCCCGGCCATCAACACGTGGCATAGGCCTTCGGTTCCATTTCTCACGGATGCCTATTTTTCCCCCCCATCCAAAAGCCTGGGTGAAACCTGTCTTCCCTCCTGGGCTGCAGGGGAGAGGTCGCCCTTTCATGCCCTCTCTCTCTGGAGGTCCCTGGATCTCGCACCTGATCGCCCCAGGCCACCTGAGCATGGCTTCCAGCCCTTCTTTACTTCTTGACTCCAGAGAGCTCCTTTTTTTTTCTTGGTGCTCCATGGACACACATTTATTTTTATAAGATTCTGTTCTATTTGGGCTCCCATTCTCAAGTGTTTGTAGTAGGAAGGACCAGCGTGGTGAATCGTGTTGTTAATTAAAAGCCTTATTTTCCAATGAGGTGATTGCTTTTATAATCAGAAAAAAAAAAAAGAACTTAAAAAACTCAAATAAAACATATTCTTTGCTGAAAACAAATACACGGTTTTTTTTTTTTTCTTCCTTTCACGACTAATGAAATGTCGACAAAGATGACAGCTCCCTGCTCTGGAGGTGAAGCCTGTACCTACTTGTTCATTTGCAAAACAGAGTATTAAGTAATTTAAAACATGCTTCCTTATCTACTACGCAGGACAAGAAAAAAGCAATCAGCAAATGCAGAAACGTGCCTGGTGTGGCCTGTGCCGTACCTTTTGGCTCCCCCTGCATCGGGGGAAACGATGATACAGTTTCTCCACTCAGCAATGTTCTCCCGGATCCACTGCAAGACTGCGGGCTCCGCGTACAAATTATCCACGGGAATGTCAAAGAATCCCTAAGGGGGGAGGGGGGGGGTGGAGTCAGTGTCACACTGCAGGGTTTTTTAAAAGATCATCTTTCATTAAATAAAATTTGAATTTTTTATTTCAAAGAAGCCTTCTCGACAGACTCCCTTTTCTTAATTTTAATAGAATTCAATCAAAAGAAATACGTTCAGGAAGCATATTCCAGCCCCATCTGCTATCTGTGGGGACACGTCCTATTACCTTAGGATTGCCTATGTCCTAATGAATAGAGAATGGCTTTGCAAGGCAGTGGGGAGAAGAGGTTTGTTGTTTCTTAAGCACCTGATTACAAGCCAAATAGTTCACATTCATTATATCACCAAGTGGGCGCAGTATAATTTGGCCTGCTTTATAGATGAAGAACTAAGTTATGAAGAAGTTAAAAAGCATACAACTCTGCCATTTTAATTATTTTCCAGAAGTTGAGATGGAATTTTAAGAGAGTTTACAACCACGAAGCCATTCTCAGTCCTTCAAAACTGACTGGAGGCCGGGTGGTAGTGCAGCCAGAAGAAAGCATGTTCAATTATATTTCCAAGTTCAGTAAAAATGGAAAAGCCAAGAGAGTTGCCACATACAAACTCAAACACGAATAACGTTACCTCCTTTGGAAATGACTTAACTTAACCGGTTAGGATTCAACCACGTGTATTAAGCCCCCAATCACAACAAGGGCAAGAAAGAAAATGCCAGCACCTGGATCTGAGAGGCATGCAGGTCCATGGTGATAATGTGATCTGCCCCTGCGACTGAGAGCATATTGGCCACAAGTTTCGCAGAGATCGGAGCACGGCTCTAAAAAATAAAGATATGGATTTTATATCAGGAGGAGATGGGTACCTTTAGATTCTTCCGAGATGTATAGCAGAGAAATCACCGCTGATCTGGAACATGTTAATAAAGAAAATTAACATGAATAATTTTTATTAGTTAATGCTAATCATCTCAATTTAAAGATTAATTAATAATGAAAATGACGTGCTATAACAAAAACATTCACTCCATTTTACTCACCAAATATTTACTATTCACATTTACTATTGCAAGACAACGTGCCTGACACTGGGTATAGAGAACAAATCTCAAAGAAGCAAATAATTAAACTATATACATGTAGTATCATAATTTCTATAGTTCGAATCATGACAAATGTGTAGAAGAACAGGTACGGGGGCGGTGGGAAGGGGAAGAGGGCGGGCACGAGCTAGAATGAGAAATAGCATGAAAGACATCAATTCAAAAGGGCTGGTTGTCAGAGGCCCCCCCTGAGAAAACTGCTTTTAAGGTGAGGCTAGCAGAGGTGGGGAGACCGGTGTTCCAGAAAGGAACAGCACGTGTGACCTCACCCAGGCTGAGAGATCACATCCAGGAAGTGAGCGAAGTCCAGGGCGGCTATAGGCAGTGGTCCAG